AATCAATTAAAGCTGAATTGCAAATTCGTCGGCACAAGGGTGTATTACATTATGTGTGCATGGTTCATATTTTGAATATTCCCATTTTGCATGCATCTTTTTTTAATGAGGCCTCTTTTGTGTGATTATCAGCTGCTATTCAAAAGGATACGAACACAAAAATGAATGAAAAATGGCAAATAGAATAGATAATTCAGCTAATGCACAAGCCTGAACAACCAGCAACATACAAAACATAAACTGCATGATATATATAAATACAAAGAAATGCATTCACATGCCAAAAAATGTGTCAAATTATGTTCTGCTTCCTCTGAATTGGTGTGTGTATTGTAGCTAATTCATACATCTGCACATTGGTGTTGGTACATTTCATTTTACGGTTCAGATATAAAATAATAATTGAAATGTGCATTGTAACATCTGTTTTCCCCTCCCATCAAAGCACAGTGCTTGTGCAAATCATGTCATGATGAAGAGGACAAGAAGGAAGGATGTTTTAGCAAGTGATTCCACTGTGTTGCAGTTTTGATGGTCTCTGTTGCTGTGGGAGTGGCAGCGTTTCTACAGTACAGTGCCTCAGGCAGGCCGATCAAAACCTATTAGCGAACAAAGTGTGAAACTTTGAGCGTGTGACCCCTGAAAAGTGCTGACCAGCAGATCGGTGAAGCGTTAAAACTCTGGGCACCAGATACCACAAACACACGAGACCTCAAGGACAATGGCAGATATATTCTCTCTCACTCTCTCTGCTCCAAGCTTCCTCACATCACTGCCCATACCCTCTCTCCCTCACACATCCCCCGCCTCTTAATAAATCCCACAAGTCGTTCCTTTAAGGGGGAAGAGAGTGACAGACAGGCTTAAGATGAGAGACAGGGGTGGAATGTTAATGAGCAAGGATGTGTGTTTCATCTGTTTGTGTGTGTGTGTGTGTGTGTGTGTGTGTGTGTGTAGCTTCTCACCTGTAGAGAGCTTGAAACAGGTCGTTCGAGCTGACTCCAAAAGCCTTTTCATACTGGTTTCTTCCCTCTCTACAAGGCAAAGGCAGATATATTCATATTTGATGACCACATGCTTTCAGTTTTGAGTATGTGACTTTTTAGAGGATGATTTTTCACACACACATTTGCTATGTAAGTGTGCAAAATGTGGGATCTCACGATTGTGTTCTGTCTATTTCAGGTAAATTCATGTGTTTCTGTTGCACACGCCCACGCTATAGAATTAGTCATATAAATCAAGGTGCCTTTTTCCTTTTGATAATCATCATTGCTTCTATCTGTTGTCAGTGTTTCTTACAGATAGACTTGACTCGTTAGCCACAGTGAATCCAGTCATGCTGCCTGAGAGCTGCTGGCTCTCCTCCCTCAGACATAACAATGAGACTAAAATCCATCTTGAGACACTGTTCAAACATGAAGGGGGACTGGAATCCAAATCCTCAGGCTACAGATCAAACCTGCAGCTCTTACAGCCCCTAACAGCCCACCTGTGTGTCGTTTTACTTTGCTCACTCATCTTATTGAATAACGTTTTACTTGTGCATCATTTACCATAGCATTGTCTTCAACATTTGGTACTTAGAACTTGTTGCATCCATTATATTTTGGTACATGTTCTTAAACAAAACAAATCTTAATCTTAAATTCTTGCAGGTCATGTTAAGGGTATAGTACCTTAATATCTCAGCACAAACCGTATGGCCAATCACAACCAACACGAGGGAGCAACGGCAATTTACTCCATAGTGGGAATAAAATCTAAAATTTAAATCAATTAAATCACATCACTGTAATTAGCTGAAGTTTTACAAAAGATGATATAAGTGTAGGCAATATGGAGAAAAACACCTTCCTTTTTAAGAATACTTCAGCTATTAACTGGTAAATATCTATTAATAACCAAGATTTGGGTGATAGACACAAATTGTTCAGATATCTTAATGTCTGATGTAGAGCTGCAATCCATTAATCAACTGATTAGTCAGTTGACCCTTTAATGAATTAATTATTGCAACCTCAGTCAAGAAAAAATATTTAAAAAATAATTAAATTATTAATCAAATTATTAATTATTACTATGTGTACTATATTGTGTACCTGTCACCTTGTCAAAATATTGTTTCTGTTACAAAAACTGTACATTACATTACACACAAAAAAGTCACTGCAGATAAGGTATTTTCAACAACAATAAAGTTGCAGTAATACTATTAATTGTAGTTGAAATATAGCCAGCGATGCATGATGCCCAGTATAGTGGACTTTCCTCACAACATATAATCAATATTGTAAAATTTAACAACTGTATTACTCCTTGGATGTTACTTGATTTTTCCAGATTTTATTTACCTGCCAAGGTCTCCTATTATAGAAGGTTTGGCAAGATATTCTTGAGGGGCACAACATTTCTTGCATTTTGTCAGCCATCTTGGTTTTGAGAGATTCGTGTTGCACTGACAACACCTGTCCAGTGGGTGGCAGTGTATGGCAGGATGCACTAGGGTCCACTGTAGTGACCTAAATGCAACTATAGCATGACTTTCAAATAGCTGTCCACTGTAGTGACCACTATATGTGAAAGATCAACTGACCATAATTAACAATTTTGGTTATCAATTAATTGTTTGAGTCCCATAAACACTAAACACTGTTTTGCATATAACTTTGTGATATACATTTTTCATCAATTTGCAACATTTTATAGCTTATAATTAAACTTGAAAATCAACAGATTCATAGATTGGGGGGGGGGGGTAGTTGCAGCTTTACTCTGGCATCATCTCTATGGATACTGGGAAAAGGCAAAGACAGAGACGTGTGTACTGACCTGACAGCATCGGTCAGGTAGTGCCAGCAGAGGTAAATGGTTCTGGAGCTGTACTGGATGGACTGGTAGAGGGATACAGGACTGGAGCGGGTCAGGTAGACACTGGCCTGCTCTGTGTTACTGTACAGCACTGAAACAGGTGGTGGGAGAGGTGGAGGAGGAGTGACAGAGGAAGAGGTGACTGGGAATGAATCACTGCAGGTGTTGAGAATGAGTTTGACCTTTTATGTCTACGTGGGAGACAGAGACAGACAGGGAGGTGCGCATGTAGGTGGTGCAGAAATGAATGTCTGGTGATATGACAAAATGGGCAAAAATTAAAACAAAATTTTGGTAATTAAAGAACACTACTAATAACTGCTTTTCAATCCTTACATTGTGACACTGTTGTAAACAAGTACTACTACTCAAGTTAGACTATTAATGAGTTATCAAATCATTTTTATGTGTGTGTGCAGACCTCTTCCGTTGTCCTGGTGTGTGTTGAGGAGCTGCAGGCCAGCGCAGGCAGCCAGCAGCCTCTGCATGCCATCCAGGCTGGCTCCGACTGCCTGACTGATCTCCTCCGCTGACAGGGGGCGTTCTGCAGCCAGCAACACATCAAACACACCCAGCTCACAGGAGGAGAAAACCGTCTGGGTCAGAGACACAGAGAGAGGAAACTGAGCACAGAAAAATACAGCAGAGTGAAACAGAGTAGAGTTCATTCATGCACCAGAGCAGACTAGAATGCAGAGCTCTGTATGCAGCACCAGTTAATCTCCCCGAGTTAAATGATCTGATCAATGAAGTTACGGTCACATAAGTCACTATGTATTTACATTAGGACGGCACTATTATTATGCTTCAAAGTTACTTCAACAGTGTACCCATGTGTGCTTTGTAGCTCAATTGCTGTGGCGTTTCATGCTTCGTTATGCTCTGTCCTGTGGGTTACCATCATTCACAATAAGGGTTTATTGTAAAGAGCCTTTAAACTGTCATGTTAGCCTGACCTATAGAGCACAGCTAAGGTATTTTGTTGATGTAGTGGTGGACATCGGTAATATTTTCACTTATAACCTAACATTCTGCACTTCCTGCATCACTTACATCACTGGATCCCAATCTTTTTCTTCCAACCAGCCTCCAACCACCACCTCACACACACACACATTACACACTCCCATCCCTCACAATACATATTTTAAAAAAATTCTATACTAAATTACAGATTTTTTTAATAAATGAATAAGCTTTTAATATAACCCTTAAATTTGTTTTTAACACATTAAAATAAATTTTGACACATAACACACTAAAATTATTACACCCCTGAAAAACAAGAGGGCTTCGCGGTTAGTGTGTATGCACTACGAGTGTATGTTACCTTGGAGATGAGGAATCCTTCCATATACTCCAGTATCTTTCTGGGGTACATGTCAGCAACAGGTGTCCCCTCAGATGAAGCCACCTCCTGACGTTCAGCCATGGCCACAGTTCAGACAGGACTCCCCGATAAAATGTTGCTGTCCTCCAAGCTCTTCTGTCTGCAAGGTGAACTTCCCTGCTAGTCTATTCTACTCCCAAGACACTCCAACAGGTGTGTGTATGAATGGCCGACTACAGCTTCAGAATGTGCCCACCCGGCCGCAGCAGTGAGAGTAGCAGTGGGCTAAGCTGATTATAGCCAGATAACCCAGATTAGAGCAGGGGCTCAGTCTGCATTGGACAAAGAAACAACTCTCCGGCAATACACTGCTGCCTTGTTCATTATCACTCACACTTGGATGGAGACTTTCACACAGTGGATTCTCATACCAGACTGTTTTCATGACCCCAAAATGTGATCGACACTTCTGAAATACCAAAACCCTGAGGGGCAACTGTGTTTTCATGAAAGATGAGCTCCCCTTCTCTTCTCCATATGGCCTAATTGCACTTACGCTGAGAGACTAATGGTAACATCAGACCTAATGACACAGGCGGTCACGTCACATGCCTTGATGTGATTACACAGACACTAATCAGTTTGACTATCAATTATTCAGCCGCACAGTTAATTAAACCAGTGGTGTACGGACAGCACACAGCTGGAGTTGAGTAAGTTGTAACCTTGATCCTCCACACAAGGATTTAAAGAAGTAATACAAGCATCACATTTCCAAAAACTGACAATACGCACTTCATTCTGACACAGAATTTAATGAGCGAGCATGAGCGAGTGTTAAAGCAAAAAGTTAAGGTGGGAGAGCATCACAGTTTTCAGCTTGATGTTTTTATTTTAACAATGTGTATGCAAGACATGCTCTAGCAGATCATGAGCGTACAGTACACAGAAAAAATGGGCTTTGCCATGACTAGTAACAATGCTGATGTTGCAGTGTCAACAAAATATTGGACTTAAATGACCTCTCAGAAGCTGAAATAAAGCAAAGAGAACCATTTGTATAGTTAGAAGTTAGGCTAAAGAAATGTATCTGGTATCACACAGTGAACATGAAAGCAGTTACATCCTAACGTTGCATTTTTACTTGGTACTGTGCTGGTTTGACTTGAATCTCAGAAGCTACTTTCCTAAAACAATGATAAAACTTTGTGGAAAAACTGTTGGACCGATCTCAAAGCCATCACTTGTATTCAAGACCCATGAATGACAGAGGAAAGAGGGAGTACACTGCTTGTTGAGTCAGGTCCTATGTTTCATTATGTCACACAACTCATTCAAGTAATCATGTTTCCCTTTCAAAGTTTCCTCCAAAATAAAGAAATTCAAATAAAACTAAAATCAGTCTTTGCCAGCCGAAACTGGCGCTGCTTGGTTGAGCTCGGCGACAAGTCTTTTGCAGAATTCAGTCGTGTTATTTTTCCTGAGCTGCTTATCAGCAACACAGCCAATACTGAAGTCCAAGAAATATTTCAGGCAGGTGAAACAGTACTGCGAAATCAGTCAGTTTGCAGGTCAACCTAAACACAGAGGTATGTTTCCTAAAGTCTGTGGAAGTTTCACATTTGTAACGGAACAGCAGCCACTGAAAAGTCTTCATGACTCAGGCAGCCATGTGGTCTGAAAGTTTCTGAAACTGATTACATGTTGGTGCAAGATGCTGTTTTTTTCTGTAATCAGGCTACAAGTATGGGTGAACAGGCTGGTGCCACATCAAAACAACAAACACATTTTGTTCTCTGGACTCGCCATTTTTCATAAGTCACTGTTATCCATGCACAAATACAACTTTCCTGCACAAAATGGAGGTATGAACAAGTTTCTGGGTTCACAGTGAGCCTATGATATTAGCCTTTGATTCAAATATTTATCAGTTAGCTAGTATTGTCAAAGGCCAATGTAATGACCATCAATTATTACATAATGGATCACTCATTTTGATACCCTATTATGTTCATACTTCATCAGAATTTTAGTGTACTGATGCTGATATGCCTTTCACACATGGAAAAAACATAATATTCAAGAACTCAAACCGTAAATGTGTTGCTTTATGCCATTAAACAGTTAAATGTAAACATTTTGACAAATTCACAGTTGTCAGCAGCGTTAATGTGACAGCATGAAATGTAAGAAGGAGAAAAAAAGGAGTTTATTTTAATCTCATAGGGGATTTTTTTACCTATAGCTAAGATGTTTATTTTTTGTCAAGCTCCCCTATCCTGGAGAAAACCGTTTGATGCATTGTTACATCACTTCATGAGGGGGGCAAATATATCTATACTTCTTCTGAACCTCACTGAACTTCAGGAGTAAGCCTAGATTGGGGAATATATTTATTAATAAAGTGATCGATGAGATTACCGTCGTCTGGAGTGGCTCCTGTCTCTACTGTAGCTGTGCCTCCTGTATCTTCGACTATAATGGCTGTGACTCCTCCTGTCTCTACTCTTATTGCTGGTCCTAGAGCTGCCCCTGCTGTATCTATGGTGACTGTGCCTGCGGCTCCTCCCTCTGCTGTAACTCCTTCCGCTGCTGCTCCGACTCCTGTCCTGGCTGGAGCTCGTGCTCCTGCTGCAATGGCTGTGGCTGCGCCTCCTGCTGCCCCGGCGGCTGAGGCTCCTCCTGTGACGACTGGAGCTCCTCCTGCGGTGGCTGGAGCTCCTTCTCCTCCTGCTGTAGCTGTGGGAGCGCCTCCTCCTGCCCCGGCTGTGGGAGCTCCTCTCTCTATGGGAGCGGCCCCCAGCTTGCTCCCTGCTGTGCCCGCTCCTCACCACCTCTTCCCTCCTTCCCTCTCGGTCTTTCTTCCTGTCCTCTCCTCCCCTTCTCTCCTCTGTTGCTCTGTTTTTGCCCAAAACTTGGGAGTGCATGCTGGATTTGGACACCTGCTTCTCTTTGCTCTCAGCTGCCTTCATTCCATACACCCGGCCCAGGACGCCCAGCATGACACCACCAGGATCAGAGGCCTCATCACTCGTTTCAGGGCCAGCCTGGTCCGGCGTGCCTGGAGGTCTCGTGGTTTTCCCACTGGTCTTCTTCAACAGATTGCAAAGCAGTCTCTCCCTTAGCTCCTTCTCACGGCGCTGGAGCTCCAATGCTCGCTCCTTCTCCACCTCCACCCTCCGGAGCTCCTCCTCCTGCTTGCGTCGGCAGGCCTCCAGCTGCTGAAGACGAGCAAGTTCCTCCTTCTGTCGGGCCTGCTCCTGCCGTTCCCGTTCCTCCCGTTCGGCCCTTTCTTTCTCCTGCTGCTGTTGCTTCAGGGCCTGGAGAGGAAAACAACGTAGGTACAGATGAGACCAACAAAGGTTACACAGTCTTGATGACGTGATACATGTCATCCAAGTAATTTTCTCTGCAAAACACACAAGCTCTTTATCGAGGAAACAGCTCGCCTGACTCTGTCCAAAGGTACCAAAACTATCTACCAGCACCCATAAAGCTCAATAATTCCCAGTTTTTATTTTGTTTGTTTAATCCATACAAGAAAGGAAGTGTAAAGACAACAAGTTCTGTGGTTTCACAGGAGGTCATGTACCAGACTATTTCTTTGCTTTGAGCAGTGGCTTCTTGGAGTGTTGTCTCGCCAGTTAACTTTCATCAAGAAAACGGGCCCGACATCAATAGCCCTCTTTGATGACAGACACGCCGAATAAGCTGCACTTACTGTGTTCTTTCCTGTTGAATATTTATGAGTCTAGTGAGGCTTCGAACATTAAAGCTGACCTTGCAGTGCTCTCACAGTTTGTTTAAAAAACATCTCAAGTGCAGTGTTTACTAAGGCATTAAAGTATCACATTTGTAGACCGTTACCTCAGCAGTGGTATCAAAATCAGAAGTATCATTACATACCAGATGAATGTGTGTGTATATACCCAATCAGAGGTGTACAGTGTGTCTTTGTGTAAATGCCATACCTTGGCCCTGGCCAGCAGCTCAGCAATGAGCCGTATCGACTCCAGGTTGCGCTGAGCCAGCAGCAGCCTCCTCTCCTCCATGGCGATCTTCATCTGCAGCTTCTTCTGCTCCTCCTCCTGCTGTCGCCTCACCCTCTTCAGGTTCCTCCTCTCCTCCCGCTCCCGCAGTTTCTGCTCTCGCTTTCGTAACCTCTCCTCCTTCCGCCTCTCCTTCTCCTCCTCTTCTTGCTCCTTCTGTTTCCTGAAGAAAAAGGTCAATTGTTTTTCAATATTACACTGAAAATGAATTCCCAAACACTATAAATACACAATAAAATATGAATGCACTAGAGCAACACCATGCATTGGTGGTCGCCGCCCTGATGCAGTTACATGAATCCTCTGGAGACATTTTTTATCATGAACTAGCTTTCCATTTCTCTTTTGTCCTCCATCTTACCTCTCCTCCTCCTTACGCCGCTCCTCCTCTTCCTTCTCCCGTCGTTTCTGCTCCTCTCGCTGCCTCTCCAGCTCTTGTAACTTCAGCCTCTCCATGCTCCTCCTCTTCAGAGCAAACTCACTCAGGTGCTTGCTGGTGTCGAAGGCCACCTGAGGAATTCACATATGTAGAGATAGAAAGCGTTCAAAAAGTGCTGTAATGGTAGAAAAGGTAGAGTACCTAGTAGTAAGTTTATTTTCTTGGAAGAATATTTTTTTAGTGTTGTCACTATGTTGAAATTTCTAAATTTGATATAATACCTTGAAAAAAAATATTGATATTTAATACAATTTCAATACCGAGGAAAAAACTGACATTGAGGGCATAAAATCTGAAATATTTTGAAAAAGATAAATATAACAAGTAGTGGAGAACAGCAGAATTACTTTAGTAAAAGTTAACAATAAGAGAGAGCACGAGAATGCAGCTGGTACCGGTGTATTGATACTGCCGTTAATGAGTAAATCAAGACTCAACAGTCTTGTCAAAATGAGGAGCAAAATCATTTGAGTAGGTCAGATCCGGCTCTTCAAATATTTCTAACAAATGGGTGCTTACGAAGGTTTAGCTGTTCTATTTTGGCAAATCATTCCTTCCAGCGGAGGGACAGGTGGTAGAAAATATTCAGTGACATGACACTGAAATCCCCAGCACCTGTATACAGAGGTTCAATAATGTACCTTAGTACCTTGGTTAAAAGTACCTCAGTACAATACTGATCATCAGGAAGGGTTATGGGGGTCATCGTTTTCAAAATACTTCATGTCATATGCAAGCAGGCAAGATAAAGCCCTTCATGTCCAAGCAAGAGTTGGTGAGATTACAAGATGCCTTCTCTTTGTTTTTTTAATGTTATTTAGAGGTATAAACAAATACACCACCACACGCTTGTAGTGGGTCATAAATGATGACTGAGAAAGATTACTTCTGTATAAGTCTATATATTATTTTTTAGGAAAATCCTGCATAGTAAGTCTTTATGGACAGACCACACTTCTATCTCTTTTGTTCCTTGTTTCTTTGATGCAGACCCTCCTTTGCTTCTTCTACCCTGATTTAGATTCCACAGTGAAGCTTTATTCTGTGGATTAAGAGACCTGGCTCTCCCTTGCCCTCATTACCTTGGAAATAATGACGACGCAGCTTTAATTCTCATTCCACTAAAAGGTCTTAAAGCTGCTATGTGTCTCTGAACAGCACAATCTAATTGCTAAAATCTGCCTATCTGTGCAATATCACTACAGCAGTTGCAATTCTCTTGTGGCCTCACGCGCAAAACAGAGGTATGCAGATATCTGATATGCCCTCAGCGATCAATCAGACCAAAAATAGCAATGTGTTACAAGAACTTTACAATCGTGATTTAAAAAGCAGAAATACAGTGTTCATGTTACAAAGTTAATCTCCCATTACCGTGTGTGTTTGCAGGTTTGATTGGCCAACACACAACCTTGCAATGCTCACTTTTTGCCTTACTGGGAAAAGAAGTCTCTTTTTAAAACTTAGTCATGAGTTAAACTCATGTTTTCTGAATGTGCTGCCTGTCAAAAGTTTGCAATGATCAATTTCTGTATCTCAGATTACATATTGAGGAACTGAAATGACTTAAGCTTAGTTACATACACCAGGTCATGAAGATTAGAAACGGAAAGCTTTCAGAAAATTATTTAACACTAAACTGCCTTTGTTCTAAGATGAAATATTTCAAAGGTTCAGCTGAATAACTGGGAAAATAAATAATCATCCCTTACGGTGTTCTTGCAATTACCATTAACACGGCTAATGCAACCAACCAACCATTTTACAACCAAGAAGAGCCTGCTGTACCTTAATGTTGCAGGCCACTGCCTTTCCATCTTCTCCTTTCAGCATAAGCTTCATGCTGCGCAGAGTATCCATTGCCTTGGTGAAGCCACAGTACTCCTGGTACTGGACATAAGCCTCAAAGTTCAGATGACCCCCGAAACTGAATGTGTTGAAGTTCTTGTCCAGCATCTCCTCCCTGTAAGGGTCCAGCATGGGGATGTCAACATTTCGTACCTACAATCAGAAGAGTAGCATGTTGACAAAATGCTCAGTTTCTTAATTTTGATGGTGTGACAATAAGCTATGCATGGCTTTTGTTGATTTCTTGCGATAATTTAGTGTTATCAAAGCAAATACGTTAATACAATTCTATCACTTACATGTAAAGCATACAATCACAGCTATCTCTTTGAATTACATTGTTTGAGTGAAACAAAGCTTACAAGAGTCAATACATGAAAAACCAACCAGTTTGAGGGGGGCTACAACTCTACAAAGCAGCTCCTTTCCACCCTCCTCTTCATTAGCTCACTAACAATAAGGATCAATGCTCCAAATAAACCCATAGTATTTATAAAAATGATACAGTTATACTGTAACAGCAGCCTTGTCTGTGCTAAATCAACAGGCCCCAAAACTTAAAATATGTCCTCAGTAAATTCGTCTGTATCGTTGTTCTCTTGTATCTTTTATTTACTGCTATTGTGTTTTTACTGTTACTGTAATTGTGTAAAGCACTTTGTGATTTTTATATGTGAAAGGTGCTATATAAATAAAATTTACTTACTTACTTATTTACTTGCCAAAGTTCTGCATGGTGAGTTATGTTTGCTGCGAAAGCCACATTACAATTTTTGTGTCCTACAGCCTAGTGGGACATTACCTTATTTCAAATTAATAAAAATCATAATGTGAATTCTGTGTTTAAGTTAATTACCTGTTAACATAGAAACAGAAACATTGTCCTACCTTGCCAAATGTCTGGAAGACCGCAATGAGGACCTCTTCAGAGGGTCGGTCTGGGTACGGGCTGTCCTTCTGGCTGAACCAGCGGCAAGGGAGTCCCTCCAGGTGGATGGTGTCAGGCCTCTCTCCCGGTAGAGTCTCATTCATATCCTTTGCGTCGCGGAAGAAGGAGTCCCAGTCGTGGCGTGTGGGGAAGTCCACTTTGTTCTCTACCGCACGTACCTGAGGAAAAAGAGGAAGAGGGGGGTTATTGTACATCCCAAAACTGATGTAGCCCAAAACAACAGCCCTGCAATAAGTCAATAAAGTTTTAAAAAAGGTTTTATTTAAACTCTTTTCACGGCATTTATTGAACTATATGGTCATTGTGGTGGTTGTAGTTTGTGGCACAGTTTAATTGCATTGCATTAAACTGACTGAGAGGTGTTTCTAATAATTATTCTCTACTCCAATAATATAATGAGCTGAGCAAAACATTAGCACAATGTAACTCATCCACATTACGCACTACAGCCTCAAAAATACAAATGCTGCAATCAGCAACATAGCAAACAAACTTTCATCATGGGATTTGTGGTCCTCAATTAGATCATCCTTACCTTCAGTACATCAGTAAATCCACTAAGATTGATGCTCTTCCCATCCAGACGGCCCAGCAGGCTCTTAACCACTGTCTTGTTTTCCACCTCGCCTTCAAAGCGGATGAAGTCCATAGTGCTCTTGGAGATTCGCAGAGCTGAAAACTGCTCTGGAGCTACCATGGCCTTCACCCTCTCCATTACCTCCCAGTTGGAGATGCTCTTGCCTGGCAGCTTGAGCTGGGGCAGAGCCACACTGATGGTCATTTTGGCAATGGGTTTGAGGTACAGGTTGTACTCAGCAGAGAGACACACTGCTTCTGTAGTGTCATGGACAATGGTGGTCATTGTGGCAGACATGGGGAAGCTGCAGCGAGGTTGAGGAGACAGTGAAGACTGTTAGCACATGCTAACTATTCTTGAAATAACCCTGAATTAGCGAATTACTGTAGTTGTTTTACTATCTGTCCCCTAAGCGTTTGGTTCACTTATTATTTGTCTTCACATGGACATCACACAGGATTTGTTTATGGCACTTCAGTGCTTGTCTCACCAAACAAAAAGCCCCAAACAACCGGCTCGCTAAACAAAACAAACGTTAGCTTAGCGTTGCTATGTTGAGTTAGGTAAAGTTAGCTAATTATTCGCAACACTATCGTTGAATGTTAGCTCGTTACAAGCTAACGAAATCTTTTTGCTGATTGTTGATGTTAACCCACTGTTACTACACGCAACCAAATGTCAGCCACATTTTAATGTGTAAAGCTGTTAGCTGATTGTAGCTAACTGAGACCCCGAAGAGAGACAAACTCGAATGCTGTTTAATGAAACAAATGACCAACGTTAGCTAGCTAATGCTAATAGACCACTTGTGAAAAACGGTATGTGTTAGCTACGTGCAAACTGTGTAGGTTAATAAAAACAGCTAACATTAATGTTATCTCTAGTTAACGTTAGGAGCCAGCTAATGTTCGTTAGCTTGAAATGTTCTGTAACTCTATAGCGCCAGCGTGTAACGTTACAAAGTCCGAGTGCTTTCATATATAATGTTATGCTAACGTCAGCTATCACAGTTTTCACCGCCACCTACCTAACGTCAGTTAGCCTCCTGGGGGAAAAAATCGACGAACGTATTGTTCTGATTTATGGAAAGCCAAACACTGCAGGAGAAATATCATACAGAGGAAAACCCAACTACATGCCACTTCCGCATCCAGTCAACTTTGACCTCAGAAAGAAACAACGAGGTGCAGCACCGTGGTGGCGTTATTTCCGAACAGCGACACCGTGTGGGATATGTGTGTAGAAACAACAATGAGTGTGTAGGAAAAACTGGAAAAGAATAATATATGGCAGATAAAAATCGCTTAGAATCAACATTATCATGACTTTCTGGTGGTTTTGGAGTCATATAATTAGTTAAATAGAAATAACCTGTGTGTGGCCGATGGGTAACAACTGACTGCATTGCAAAAAACAGACACCCTCTGTCTAAGGAGTGGTGTACAGATTGTGAAGCCCCGTGAGGCAGTTTTGTGACTTGTGGTATTGGACAATATAAGTAAAATTTGACTTGACTTTTGCAAACTAGTATTTTATATTTTGTATCTATAATTAATTTAGATCCCTATATAGAAATCTATATTTACATTGACATTAAAGGTCCCATATTATGCCCATGTCAGGTTCATACTTGAATTTGGGGTTCCTGCTTGAACATGTTTACATGTTTTAATGTTCAAAAAACTCATTACTTTACTCACACTGTCTGCCTGAATCTTCACCTTCAGTCTGAAATGCTCTGTTTTGGTGCCTGTCTCTAAGCCCTACTCCCCAAAAAAGCCCTGTCTGCCCTGATCAGGCCCCCAGGAAAGCTGCTCAGCCTTGAAGCCAATTTTTCCTGGTGGTTACTCGTGATATTACAACAAAAAAATCCCCTGTGGGCCAAAAAGCATTGTCCCCATAGGCCATTATTGTAAAAGACAGTAAAAGACAGATCTGTAAAACTGTTGACAGGACACCTCGACCTATAGACAAGATCAATTATGATGCTTTCTATTTTGAATTTTTTGAGCCATGGAGGTTTTATACATGTAAAACTTTTCTCAAGCTGAGAAAAGTGATTTAAAAATCTGTGATCACAAAATCTATGAGCTGAACGGAACTTGCAGGTGGGGCCAGCAGGAGATACACTACTGTGCTTATTCAGTGGGCTGCATACTGCAGAAATAAACCGGGAAGCTAGAAAGCTTTTTTGGCATATGCTTCAGGCATGCAACTCCATTGGAGTGAACAGAAAGAGAAGAAGATGATATATTTTATTAATCCTGGAGGGGAAATTCAATTTTTTTCACTCTGTTTTCCTATACACTGTACACACAGTCCTGAAATACACACTATGCATTAAATGGAGAGATGTCAGAATTAAGGAACTGCCCATGGATAGGCACTCCAGGCAGTTGGAGGTTGGTGCCTTGCTCAGTGGCACCTTGGCAATGCCCAGGAGGTGAACTGGCACCTCTCCAGCTACCAGTCCATGCTCCATATTTGGTCCGGGTGGGGACTTGAGCAATGACCCTCCAGTTCCCAACCCAAGTCCCTATGGACTAAGCTACTGTCGCCCCCGATAGGTGCCATCTTGGAGTCCGGTATGTAGTTATTGTTAAAATCCAGGGCTCTGATTGGTCAGTGTTTCCGGGTCATCCACATCTGCGCTCTCTGCATGTCTGCACCGTTATTGCAGACAGGACTGCTTCATGATAAAGAGGACATAGAAATCTGACTTTTTACAATATAGGACCTTTAAAGGGCTTCTTTCTTTTCTGATGATAAGTGATAATAAATCTAGTTAAGCACTGTACAGTAACACAATAAAACATGAACATCTCTAAGGGGGACGAACACTTTGTGTATTCACTGTATGCCACAAAACAACAGAACATCAGGATGACTGCACATTTGTTACTAAGTGGATGGTTATTTGGCACTGTTAGTCACTGGGTAGGCTTTGTGCGACTGTCATCATCGCTCTGGTAACTGTTTGGGGAGAGAGTGAGAGATGGGGATAGATTAGACATGGATTAGTCCAAAAGCAGAGGCCCCGGGGCAAAAAAGTTGGCACAGTTTCCCTGAAAAGATGGCAGAGGAATTTACATAATAGGCATTACTCCCTTCACTTTGTATGTAGGTCAGTAGCTGCAGTCAGACGGCCTCGCTGCTCCATCCCGATCAGCAGTCATCTAACAGATAGGCTGCCTAAGGCGACTAGACTCCAAAGCTACTGGCCCAGGAATAAAAGCTCAGCCCTTCAGTGAACTCTATAAATCTTGTGTGACTGGACGATGAGGGCAATAGCAGAGATCAGAGAACCATCAAAAGAGCAGAGTCCGACTCAAGTGTATGTGCATTCACACAAGCAGTACGTTTGATTATAACGACTGTACACATGTAATCCTACTTTTACATGGCTGATTTGTTCTGCTCAACATGAAGTAGAGAACAGTCCCAGATGTCTGCTGTGTCAGAGCAGCAGTTATCTCTCCAGTCCCAGATGCTAATACATTGGCTGCAAATGCACTATATCTCTCTCTCTCAAATAAAAGCTACATATGTAATATGCTAATTAAACTTTGAAAAGTCTATATTTGCAGTTCAAATGGTTGTGAATTTGCATTTTATGAAAGACATTGACCCAAACTAGACCAGATCTTAAAGGTCAAATCAGATCATTAAAGTGTCATTAATCTTGTGTGGTCTAACAATAGAAGTACACACATAAATACACACACAGCAGGTGCAGAACGAGGGCTGGCTGTGAATATATTGGGCGCAGTGTTACAGGGGCAGCTTGTGGACAGGAAGCCGTGGATGTACTGTAAATGGTGGCACAGGGGGTCATCAGATCATCAATTATTCAGCACCACCAGACAGGGACAATCACTTGGTGTCAGCAGGCCGGCAAACAAAATAGCCTGCTTAACAAGTCTGGTCCATCCTGACTCCAGTATTCATGACTGAATATGACAACTCTGACCACCATTCGTCGAATTCCTTGTACTGATTTGACGTCCCTGCATATTCTGTATATTTGTTTGCCTTGAACAACAGTGACATACTGTAACAGGACACTGACTTCAGTTTTATGCAAACCATTATTGCTTTATTTCAAGGATGAGAAATGAAGACAAACACTACAATGGCTCAGTAACAGTGTATTTGCACCACGTAAGAACTTCACAGTATTCCACAAAGACGACAGACACGACAAAAACATTAACAGTGCACAAAATTTACATTTACCCTATTCATGCATGTAAAAAAAGTGACATCAAGGTGGGTTCGTACGATACATTTCTACATCGGAAGAGTCAACTGTACAGTTACATGAAGCCCTACGATTTGAGTACAAATGCTACAAAATACTAAGGGTACATTCATGAAATCTAGGATGTGTCATCGATCCAATTAACAGATATAAGCAAGGTTCACACGTTTTGGAAAACAGTCAAAAAGTCAATGTGCTTCTCGGCTAAACATAGAGCTTATTCTGGTCTAGACTCTTCACTATCCACAGATGATGCAGACATGATCAGCAAATGATTGTGTACATGCAAGGTTAGAGCAATACAGGAGGCAGATACAAGCAATGTATTAAATATAAAATATGGTCCAGCGGGATAAAGTGGATATAAATCAGTTTGTATCATTGGATAATTACTGTACTGTCGAACCAATCAGTAATGTGCAGCAGAAAGATCTAAACATGAATAACTTTTCAGTAGATTAAAATCTGGACACGAGCCAAAACTGCATGAAAAAGTGTATCTATATGATTTTTAGAGTAATGTTTCTGATATAAATGGTAAATATAATACATTTTAAGAAATGGATATTTGCACAAAGCACATCAATCTACTATCAGAGGCCCATACGGCTTAAACTCCGCCACAAAAAGCAATGAAACAATGAGTGAACCAGGCTCAGAGGATTTGAGGTACATTATAGTCAGTAGAAAAACTACAGTTCCCTGTGCTTCTATCCTGTGAAACAGCCCCACTGCGTAACTGATCAGTGTCTTTAAAGTACTGGTGTCTAACTAAAGCCATGGCAGTCTTGTTTTGGTGTCAACTGACCAACTAAGGTGAAAGGTATAGGGTAAATTACATACTCTTATTTGTCCTTTTATATATACAGTGCATTATACATCCAAAGGTGTTATCACCTGATCGCCCTTATACATCGTGAAAACAATATTAAAAAGGGACTGTTTTGGTGCAAGTTGCTCAGTGTTGGAGATATCGGCTATATATAATGGAGCTAGATGGCACTCAAAGTTTGTGGTGCTCAAAGTGCCAAAAAATTAATGTCTCTTTTCAAGAAATTGTGACCTAGTTACTCAAGATAATCCACAGACCTTGTTGTGAGCAGATCATGTTGGAACTATTTTGTTTCCTACCGAACTACACCCGCTAACTGTATCGCTGCCCATAAGGAAGCTTGCATCTACTGCTAGCTCATCTAGCACCACTAAGCTAGCTAACGTTACAGCTCAGCCGAAGAGGATGCAAATAATGTTTCTAGCGCTGTCTCAAGCACAAGACTACCTCCATGAGTAGATGCACTCTTCCTTCTGCAGTTTGCTTCCTGTGCTTTATTTTAAGCAACCAGGTTATGATTTCTGGAAAGAGACATTGCTGTTGAGTTTTTCAAATGCTTTTTGTTCCTGGCAGTTTGAGCACCACAACCTGAGTGCCATTTGGTTAAATAAAGTGCTCCAGGGAGTCTTAAACTCTGAAATGAGTTAGCATTTTTGCACTCCCAGTTCAATGTTCTCAAAGTCAGTGGGTTTTTGGTTAGATGCCTGAAATAAAGTCGTTAACAAAAGTTTCAGAGACTTTCACGGTTTGTTCTATGGCATTAATACATCAAAAAATACCCTACTCTTGGATTTTGAAGCTTCTATGTCTTCTGTGACTACAGAACATCATCAAGCCGAACACAGCTTTACAGCCTCACTGTGGTAGGGATGTTATGTCACACGACCGCTCTGTCGAGGGAACCAGGGCTATGCTAACTTCTGTGTCGGCCTACAGAAAAACATCATCCCTGGATCACTCTGTTATATTTGAGTCAATAACTCCAACGCTAAGCAACTCACACCAAACCAATCTAGACTGATAAGCAGCACCACAGCTAAGAGGAAAATAACGT